GCCGCGGCCGGGCCTACTTCGGGGGGGGGGGCCGGGCGCCGCGCGGCTGAAGGGGCGAGGAGGAGGAGGAGGAGGAGAACGATGAGGAGGGGGATGAGGAGGAGGATGAGAACGAGGAGAAGGAGGAGGATGAGGAGGACGAGAAGGAGGAGGAGGGGGAAGAAGACGAGGACGAGGACGAGGAGGAGGAGAAGGAGGAGGAGGGGGTAGGTACCAAGAGGAGGAAAATGATCCGTATGTGGATGAGGACGAGGACGATGATGATGATGATGATGATGATGATGATGATGATGATGATGATGATGATGATGATGATGATGATGATGATGATGATGTTGATGTTGATGTTGATTCTGATTCTCATTGTGATGATGCTGCTGCTGATGCTGATGCTGATGCTTTTGATGTTGATGCTGACGATGGAGACGATGCTGATGTTGATGAGGCTGATGATGCTGGTGATGATGATTGCTGATGCTGACGATGATGCTGATGATGCTGATGCTGATGCTGATGATGCTGATGATGCTGCTGCTGATGATGCTGATACTGTTGCTGATGGTAATGCTGATGATGGTGGTGGTGGGGATGATGATGATGCTGCGGCTGCTGACGATGGTATTGATGATGAAGACGATGATGCTGATGCTGATGATAATGATGATGATGCTGACGACATGATGCTGATGCTGATGCTGTTTCTGATGATGCTGTTTCTGATGATGATGACGCTGATGATGATGCTGATGATGATGATAATGAGGAGGAGGAGGAGGAAACGAGACCGGAGGAGGAGACGAGGCAGCATGAGGAGCAGGAGGAGGAAGGAGGAGGAGGAGGAAGAGGAGGTAAAGGAGGAGGAGGAATAATAAGACTAGGATGAGGAGGATGAGGATGAGGATGATGATGAGGATGAGGATGATGATGAGGAGGAGGAGGAGGAGCAGGAGGAGGAAGAGGAGGAGGACGAGGATAATGATGTTGCTGATGATGCTGTTGATGGTAATGATGATGCTAATGATGATGATGCTGCTGATGTTGATTCTCATGTTGGGTCTGATGCTGGCGACGACGGATTATGCTGATGGTGACGATGCTGATGTGGATGATGTTGATGCTGATGATGATGAACGCTAGTGCTGCTGATGATGCTTCTGCTGTTTCTGATGATGACGATGCTGATATTGATGCTGACAATGAGGCTGATGATGATGAAGATGCGGACTCTGATGCTGCTGATGAAGGTGAGGATGATGAGGATAGTGATGATGATGTTGCTGATGATGCTGATGATGATGCTGATGCTGCCGTTGATGATGCTGATGCTGATGCTGATAATGATGCTGATGGAGATGATGCTGCTGCTGATGACGACGATGATGATGGTGATGATACTGCTGCTGATGATAATGCTGCTGATAATGCTGATGGTTATGCTGATGATGACGACGATGATGATCATGATAGTGGTGATGCTGTTGCTGGTGATGATGATGACGATGCTGATGATGAATCTGATGATGATGCTGCTGATGCTGACGATGATGATGTTGATGCTGACGTTGCTGCTGCTGATGATGTTGGTGATGATGATGACGGTGGTGGTGACACTGATGATGATGCTGACGATGCTGCTGCTGATGACTACGACGATGGTGATAATGATGCTGATGATGCTGATGAAGGTGATGACGATGATGACGATACGGATGCTGTTGTTGATAATGATGATGCTTATGATGATGCTGATGACGATACTGTTGTTGATGATGCTGTCGATGCTGATGTTGCTGATGATGTTGATTCTGATGTTAATGATGTCGATGCTGATGATGATGGTGCTGCTGATAATGTGGAGTCTGATGATGCTGATGATGATTATGATGGTTCTGCTGCTGATGATTGTGGTGAGGCCGATGATGATGATTATGATTCTGATTCTGCTGCCGCTGATGACGACGATGGTGATGCCGATGGTGATTCTGATGATGCTGATGGTGATGCTGCTGATGATGCTGCTGATGGTGACGATGATGCTGATGCTGCTGTTTTTGGTGCTGCTGCTGATGCTGATGACGCTGATGCTGATTATGACGATGACGACGATGATGACGATGAGAAGGAGGAGGAGGAGGATGCCTGTGATGATGATGCGGATGCTGATGATGATGCCGATAGTGATGATGCTGATTCTGATGATGATGCTGATGATGATGATGCTGATGATGATGATGATGATGATGATGATGATGATGATGATGAACATGCTGATGCTGATGCTAATGAGGAGGATGAGGAGGCGGAGGAGGAGGAGGAGGAACACGAAGAGAACCCGTGGGAGGTCTGGAAGGAGGAGAAGGAGGAGGAGGAGGAGGAGAAGGAGGAGGAGGCGGAGGAGGGGGAGTTGGCGACGGAGAAGGAGAAGGCGGGTGATGCATACGACCAGGATGCGGATGAGGATGCAGACGCGATTCAGGATGACGGTGATGATGGTGACTTTGCAGATGCTGCGGATGATGCTGATGCTGCTGATGATGATGATGCTGATGATGATGATGATGTTGATGATGATGATGATGGTGATGATGAGGATGATGATGTGTGATGATGATGCTGATGGTGCTTACGATGATGAGGATGCTGATGCTGATGATGATGGTGATGCTGATGACGATGCTGATGATGACGATGTTGATGTAGATGGTGCTGCTGCTGCTGGTGTTGATGATGCTGATGTTGCCGATGCGGATGAGGAAGACTCTGATGATGACGCTGATGCTGAAACTGATGATGACGATGCTGCAGATGCTGCTGATGCTGATGATTTTGGTGCTGATGCCGATGATGATGAGGATTGTGCTGGTGATGGTGATGCTGATGATGACGATGCTGCTGATACTGCTAATGCTTTTGATGATGCTGACGACGATGATGCATATTCTGCTGACGATGATGCTGATGATGCTGTTGACGACGATGACGACGATGACGATGATGACGATGCTGATGATGCTGATGATGTCGATGCTGATGCGGACGCTGCTGATGATGATGGCGCCAGTGTTGATGCTGCTGCTGATGATCATGATGAGGCTGCTGATTATGATGATGATGCTGATGTTGGTGATGCCGGTGCTGATGATGATGATGCGGCTTATGTTCATGATGCCGATGCTGATGCTGATGATGATGGTGATGATTATGCTGCTGATACTGATGATGGTGATGGTGATGACTATGCCAATGCTGATGATGATGCTAATGATGCTGATGATGATGAGGAGGATTATGCTGCTAATGTTGATGATGGTGATGGTGATGATGATGACGATTTTTCTGATGATGATGCTACTGGTGATGATGTTGTTGTTGATGCTGCTGATGCCACTGTCGATGATGATCATGATGATGCTGATGATGGTGATGAAGCTCATGATGATGCTGATGATGAGGATGCTAGTGCTGGTGATGATGATGATGTTGATGCTGAGGATGATGCCGTTGTGCGTGATTATGCAGATGATGCTGATGTTGATGCTGATGCTGATGCTGATGTCGTTGCTGATGTTGCTGCTGATGACGATGATGATGCTGATGGTGATTATGATGATGGCAATGATGAGAATGACGGTGGCGATGATGAGCGGCAGGAGACGGCCGAAAAGGATGACACGGACGAGGATGAGGAAGAGGACCGGACGGATTACAAGGACGAGGTTGCGGTTGAGGATGAGGGTGAGGATGAGGACCAGGATTGGTTTGAGGATGATGAGGATGAAGAGGGGGATGGGAAGGCGGAGGAGGGGGAGGCGGATGAGGAGGAGGAGTACGACGACGAGGATGATGATGAGGGTGATGATGAGGATGAGGATGAGGATGAGAACGCTGTTGATGATCGTGATGGTGATTGTGATGGTGATTGTGATGGTGACGGTGATGTTTCCGATGATGATGCTGCTGCTGATGATGATGATGATGTATCTGCTGATAATGATGATGGTGACGACGATGCTGATTATAATTATGTTGCTGATGAGTATGATGACCATGCTGATGCTGATCATGCTGATGATGTTGATGTTGATGGTGACGATGCTGCTGCTCATGCTGATGATGGTGATGATGATGGTGCTGCTGATGATGCTGAATATGTTGATGCTGATGACGATGATGATGATGATGATGCTGATGATGATGATGATGATGATGTTGATGATGATGATGATGATGATGATGATGATGATGATGATGGTGATGGTCGTGGTTGTGATGCTGCTAATGGTGCTGTTGCTGCTGCTGATGCTGCTGCTGATGATGATGCTGTACGCTTCTGCTGATGATGATGCTGATGATGCTGATGATGCGGCTGCTGCTGCTGATGCTGATGCAGATGTTGATGCTGACTATGCTGCTGCTGATGATGACGATGATGATGATGATGATGATGATGATGATGATGATGATGGTGGTGATGATGATGATGATGATGCTGATGCTGATGCTGCTGCTGATGCTGATGCTGATGCTGATGCTGCTGGTGATGGGGAGGGGGACGAGGAGGATGAGAAGGAGGAGGATGCGGAGGAGGAGAAGGAGGAGGAGGAGGAGGAGGAGGCGACTGGGCGGGAGGAGGATACGAGGCAGGAGGAGGAGGAGGAGGAGGAGGAGGAGGTTGAGGAAGAGGAAGGGGACGAGGCAGAAGATGGGCGAGGCAGCAGGAGGACGAGGAGACGGATCATGAGCAGGTGAAAGGGGATGAGGAAGAGGACGAGGATGAGGATGCCAATGAGGATGAGGAGGAGGCGGAGGAGGAGGCGGACGAGGAGGAGGAGGAAGAGGAGGAGGAGGAGGAAGAGGAGGTGGAAGACGACCAGGGAGGAGGAGGATAAGGAGGAGGAGGAAGAGGCCCAGGAGGAGGCTGAGGCTGAGGATGATGAGGATCATGTTGCTGATGCGGATGATGCTGATGATGCTGCTGCTGATGATGATGACGCTGGTGA